ATCTGCTGGAGACAGTCATGCTCAAGATGAGCTCCCTCCCTGCATTCATTATGTAAAGATACATAGAGAAAGGAAAAACCCCATACATAAAATTTCTTTATGGTCCTGATGAAGCAGTGAGACAGGCTCCTGCCTGTCCTCATGCAACCTACTGGCTACAAAGTCACAGCCAAGATACAGGTTTGTCTTTTTTCCTCTCTTGAACTTCATTCTTTTCGAGTCAGCATTGAGATAATTTCTTTATAAAAGTATTCCTTGTTGCCCTTGGGTCTTAAAGAAGCCAGGCTGCCACGCCTATAATGTTTTCAAGTCTGGCCAACTGCGCAGATACCAACATGCCTGTTAAACCAGAGATTTTTTTGTATGGAAAAAATTTTGAAGCACTTTACTCTTGCTGCTGTGATTTTCCAACCTGAGATTATAGCTTTAGGTAGAGAACAAGTGCATGGGATGTGTATATGAATATGATGTCTGAATATTTACCTGTTATTCATCCATTGCAGGATAGGAAGGAAAAGAAGCTTACATGCTATTAACTGGTGTGAGAACTTGTATAAAAAATGTGGATGCCTGCAATTACCCCAATGCAGACTTGCTGAATCTGTGTGTGCTAGGGATGGATATATTTTGATGTGGGCACATAAAAAGTTGATTTTTTTTCATGTTATGTCAGTAAAATACATGGTTTGTTGTCTATCTCAAGTAGACTGATTAAATAACCAAGATTATACAACACTGATTTGTTAATCATTGAAAATAACCTTTTGGTTCAAGAGCTTCCTCTGTGAGAATTAATATTTTATACAGAAGTGTTATGTAATAGACATTTTGTTGCCTTTGCAGTCCTGCACACAGGAACATGGTGTTAAGCTGATGTAGTTTGGATTGTTCTGTATTAATTTGTCCACTAAACCAATGCAAATATCAATGAACAAGGGGTAAAAAAAGGCCCATGTTGCATATTTGTAAATGGTGGTTTGTGTACAGATCATGGAAGGGGGGGATAGGAACTGCTTTGGTCTGATGGTCTCTGCATTAAAACTTGAGGGAGCAGTGTTAGAGGTAGTGCTCTGGTTTGCCTTGTTTCCAGGCACCGCTGAAGTTACACACACTTTCCACATGCATTAGCAATTGCCTTCATCAAGGATGCACGGAGCAGCCAGACTTGATGGTTAATCTGACTGGTGTTTCAAAATACAAACTGAGAACTCCACATACAGGGTTCCTCTCAATGACTGCCATTCAGAAGCTTTTATGTACTTACCTTCTCACTAGTTAAATTAAGAAACAAAGCCTAACCTATCTCGTTTAGCGGAGGAACTGACAAAAGGGAAATGAAATCTTTCATGCACTTGAGTTTTTTTTAAGTAATATTTGATGGTTTATAACCCATGCTAAATTTTTTCACAGTTTTGCCTTGTTGGCCTTGATAGCAGAGAGAAAGGAAAAACTGGTTTGATGGTTTTGCTCCTCTCCTTTTCTATCCTTCTGACAACAAATGTATTGGCTCTGGAAACAGGAAGTGGAGGAATGCAGATACATAAAGGCTTGTTGGTGCTGCAGAAATTGTGACTTTAACAAGTGTAGGTGTCCTAATAAAAAGTGGGTAGGAAAGTGTCTAATAGAAGAAAGGTATTCTTAGAGAAAGAAGTGGACTGAGAGAAACAAAATTGTGCTAATAATAATTCAGAAAAGTGAAAGATGCACAGGTTTAGACAAGAATATTTTTCCAGTGTTTAAAACTTCTATTTATGCTATGTTTATTTTCAGTGAAAGTTAATTTAATATGTAATTAGGTTGAAAGGTAAATTTAAGAGTGTCTTTTTTAGCATTGATGAGTTTAACCCAAACAGATTTTCAAGAAAGAAACCACTGAGGCCTGAGTTACAGGAGAAAAAAGATAGTAAAACCTGGAAATAAAAATATGAGAAACATGCAAAAATACAAAAGAAAGTAATATTGAGGAAAGAAAAGGAGATAACAAAACTGTGGAGAGAAGTGTGAGTAAATATATCATAAAATTATAAATCATGAGGTTATATATGCTCACTGCATGAAATGTAATGGGTGCCTGAAGCTTACGGGTGGAAATAGTCCAAGCCTTGTTTGGAGAAATGAGGCACGTGCAAACCATTAGTATTTTAAGTTTTGTAGTCTGTCCAAGTGCACAGTGGCCCAGGGCAGCCTGGAAACAACCTGTGTGCAGCTGGGCAGCGTGAGGAGCAGAGTGCCCCTTCTCTGCTGTTTCTTCTGTGTGTGAAGAGAGGATGGTGGCCCTCCACACTCTCATAGCTGCTGATTTCTGTCACCTCATTCATGTTAAAACTTCTTCAGTGTGTGATTATTTACCTGCTTGCTGTTTGACTTTGTAAAATCTTAGATCTGGTTTGCTGTCTGCAGAAGAGGGTAAAAGAGAGTGACCAGCAGCAGCCCCCTCTGGTACTGCCTGTGGTCAAACAGTGAGCTCGCTCTAGCAGTGAGGAGGTTTCCCTGCTTGACCAGCAAGGTTTGATTTGTTGATGCCTTTGCTCTATTCCTGCTGTCTGCAGCAGAAGAGAGGAAGTGGGGAGGAGCTTGCACACAGCCTCTGGCTCATGGATGGGGGAAGAGGAGGTGGCCACCAAGAGAAGGGAGGCATTACAGGGAGCTCCCAAATTGAACTGGCTGTTGGGTGTCATGTGAAAAGCAAGGCCTAGAATGGACAATGAACTCCACAGGGAGTGGCAGTGGGATCCTGTAGGCTCCCATGTAGCAGGAGCAGTGCCTGAGGTGCTTTCCAAGGGGAGTGTGGTTTCAAGACCAGCTGGAGCAAATTTGAACTTGCACTGCTGTTGAAAGGGGAAGTCCTGCCTTCCAGCCCACCCTCTGCTTTGGGCAAGATGCCTTTCCCAGGCACATACCATGGAGAGAGCAGGAATGTTAAGTAGCAGGGTGGCCACAAATGAGCTTCAGCTAATTGCAAAACTTACTTAGAGATAGCAACAGAATCTGCTATTTATCTGGTTAGGTTACAAGCTACTTTTGACAGTATTTTTACAGGACATAACCGTGCTGGGGGTTTTTCTTCTCTCTTGATGAAATTACACTTCTTCTGTGTGCTGGTTTGTTGTTTTTCTTATGCAGCAGCAAGGGAGGAAGATGGCATTTTAACTGAAGAGATTGTCAAATGTCTGCTGTTGTCTGAGTACTTTGATATATATGTAGAACTGAGACTTACTCAGCTGTGCTGAAATTAAACCTCTAATGACTGGAACTGCTTACTTAATTAGCTGGGGTGTGGGGTTTTTTTTGTTTGTTTGTTGTTTTTTTTTTTTTTCCCAAAATATCTACTTCTTCCCCAAAATACCGTGACTTCCCTCCTTTTCATTTCTTTACAGAATTCATAATGATTTGTTCTAAGAGGATTGTTTGGGTTTTTTTTCAGTCTGTTAGCAATGATAATACTTCTGATGCTTTTAACAAGGAAATAGTTTTCCTTAATGGAAAAGATGTTTGATCAAGTGACTGTACAAATGGAGGCAGCCACTGTATATAGGACGTGGCATTTGGAGGTTGCATGTGTTATGCCTGAAGTGCCAAGTGCTTGGCTGTGATTCAGATGAAATTGGTGCTGGCTGATGCCAACACCCCAATGTAAATGTGATGTCTTTCCCTATGCTGTAGGGCCCTGAAAGAAAAGTATTGAAGAGAATGAGTGCCCGAGGGGACGAAGTTAAAGAGAAGTGGTGCATGTGCTCCTTATTTAATCTCCTTTGTAGCCACTGTACTGCATACTGACTATACCAGTGGGTGTGTATTCTTGTATCAAAGCAGATGTTTCTGTTTCTGAAGATGTTGCTTTGTTTTAATAAATTGAGGTTGTCAGTTCAAAAGTGGAAGAGGGAGGTGAAGGAAGTAGCATAAAGTGAGAATTTGTCAAATGGGATTTGGAACAAAATCCATGAGAATATTTGTGGTAAGAACTGCAGAGAAGAATCCTTCACTGGTCTTGGCATTGTCCAAACATCTACTTCTGCACTGCTATGATTTATATAAGAATTTCTTTTTTTAGATTGTTTTTTGGTTTGATTTGTGTTTTCTTTTGTTTGTTTTAAACCAAAATTTTGTGTTTTGTCATTTCTTATCCTTCATATATCCTCCAGGTGTGATCCAATCCATGTGCTCAGCCTATTCTTGGAAGGGGAGGGTGGTGGTGATGGACCTCAGCAGTCTTTCAGATTGTGATTCAGCTCGTGAAGACAAGCTCTCCTGTTCTTCCCATGCCTTACCAAGTGTTGTGGTGGTGCTGCTCAGCCTCTCCTGGCTCCTTTCCTTAAATGCTGATACACTCTCAAAACACAGCCCTCCTACTGAAGATGGGAGCTGCCTTTGCCTGCTGGTTTTGGAAATGGGTTTGTTGCCTTTGGGAGCACTGCTGAGGAGGGATTGGAGGGCATGGTGAACTCTGTTCGGGCCCTTCTTGCATGGCTCCCTGACCTCGTGCAAAACAAGGGTTACAGAAGCAGCCAAGGTGAATGGCCTCGTGGCTGTGAGTATTTTCTGTTAGATCTCAAGTATGATCCAAAGGTCTGTTCTGAAGCTTGCTTGCTCTAGGTCCTTGGAAAGTATCTAGTCACAGTTTTTTTCCTCCATGTATTTAAAAACTTAGAGTTTCTGAAAACTCCATAAAAAGATTTGTTTCTGCATAAAAAGATTTGATTCTCCTGAGACTACTTGATTACCCGAAGCCCTTTCAAGAAGAAAAGTCTATGAGGCATATTTTATTTGAGGATTTGACAATGTTTTCCCTAATTTTTCCTTATCCTGGTCTATACTGTGAAGAAGAAACCTGGAACAGCAGGTTCCTGCTGACCTTTAAAATTATCTCAGTGGAAGGCCTGACACAGGGCTTGTTCCTGTGTGCTTCTGAGTGCCAGTGGGTGGCACCGCTGAAAAAGCTTCAGAAAAACAAATTAGAGGGAGATATGGGGGGGGGGTGGGGTGTGGCTTGTTTGCATTTTTTCTGCAGCGGTTTGGGAGCAGCTCTAGTGGATGAGTGCACTGCTCTCGGTGCTGGGTGCAGACCCTTATGGCAGAACAGCTCTGCTGCAGGCACTGCTGGGGTGGTGGGACTGGGATGGGGCTGAAGCAGGGGGTGCAGCTGGTTGTCCCTGCCTGTGGAGCATCCTCTGCTCTGGAGGGCTGTCCCTGTGCTGTGTACCTGCGGCTTGCTACCCTTGCAGAAGCACCTGCTGCACTGGTGTTGGCACCCTGGCACAGTGTGCTGTGGTTGGCAGTGCTAGGAATGCCTTGGGCACACAGCAGTGCTGCTTGGTGGGCAGCAAGGCAGTGGCAGCCAGCCGGCTGCACAACGAGAGTCCTGTAGAATCCTGCCTGTTGCTAAGGGACTCCTTTTGCATATGGAACAACACTGGTTTACATAGCAGCTTTCCCTGTGTTTGTTGATTGGAGGCAATTACTGTAAAATACTTGATTTATAACAAGGCATACTTAATAAGCAGCAAACTAAAATAAATATTCATGAATTACCTGCTGGAGTCTGGCTGTTCTTTTTGCTGAGTTGTTGCTTTTCATCTGTGTGCTCTGGACAGCCCTGGAGCCTCTGCATTGCTGGAGGTGAAGGCAGCAATGCTGGGTCTTAGCTGGTGGAAGCTTTGGGCTGAAGAATGAGGGGTACAATTCCACTTTTTCTCTGTTTTTTGTTCATTCCAGAGGATAGAGGTATTTTCCTCAGATTTTTCCAAGCAGTTCATTTGACTCAAAATGGTCTGCTTGCCTGGTATAGAGCTGTAATGCAGTAGTTGAAGTGTCATCAAAGTGTTTGTGTGGAACACGTGCCCTGTACAGCTTCCACATCATTGGGATGTGGTCTGGTTTTTGTGGTGCTGTAGGGAGGTGATGATGTACAAATAGCAGTGCTTTTGGTTAAGTTAGGATGAACCAGTATGTTTAATAAAATGTGTGGGAAATGACAAATTGCTCATTTGGGATCTATGCTCTTTGAGAACAGGACAACTCATTTAGAGTAGTTCCAAAGTTATTAAAACAAGGATCTGCTCAGTCTTCCCTAGAGATGAAGCACAGTCAGCAAAAGGATGAGTAACCTTTGTCTTCTGTATTGCTGAGTGGCATTCCTCTGACCCCCGCTACCATGACCACTTTATTTGGCCAGTTTGATTCACAGGAGTTTGTTTTTATTTAGGAGGAGTCTGTGGCACTTGTAAAAATGAGAAAGTGATCATCAGAGTCTGGCTTGGTATTCCTGCTGCTGGAGCCTTCAGGAGCCAGCACTCAGCCCTGCTGAAGCCGGAGGAGGAGGGCGGAGAAGCACAGCCTGATCAGGTACTGAGCCAGTAATGGGAAGAGTTGTCTGATGCAGAATTTAGTTGTGGATGATCATTAGTTATAAAAAGTTACATTTTTTAGAAGGTCTTGTTAACATGTGTGATGCAATGGAGGCCCAGTAAAGACAGTCACATCTGTGGGCCTGGCATGGGTGCATGTTATGAGTTCTGTAACAGAGCTCAGGTGAACATAAACAAATGCAACACATTTTCTGAGGTATTCGATTTGCACGTCTAATGTGCAGTACAACTCAGTACGTGTTTGCAAATACTGTTTTCAGGCTTCATGTTGTAAAGAATGGGTTAGGAATACTCTTAACAAATGTTTGAATGTTGAAAAGCAGCTTGATGTCTTGAGAGAAGGTTTTTCCTCAGCTTTATTATTTGTTCTAGTAGGGAGACTTCAGTGCTAGCTTTTGATGAGCATTATGTTATGTGGGAACTGTAAAGCACAGAGAGGTAGCAGACTGATGGGTTTTAAGACAAAACCAACTGTCAGTTTCCTTGTTATATTTTTATTTGCTGAGATATCTGTAACCATTCCTGGAAACTAATATTTATTCTTGTATTCACATCTTTCAGATTGTCATACTTGAGAAGATTTAGCTAGGTTCAGCTTGTATGAAGACAGAAGTACAAGATTTTAATTTATTGTAATCGATTTGGGCTTTGTCTTATGTAACTGTACCTTCCAGTTTATGTGGAACTCCTGCTCTGAGGACCATCTTTTGAAAAGACTTTGCATATTTTTACATGCCATTAGAGATCCTTTAAGAACAGGGCTAGTACTTATTTTGGCTTGTACAATGCTTGGAGTGGCAGTGGCATGCAATTCACTTTTAGAGGGAGCATTCTATGAAGAGGCACAGTGTATTTGCACTTCAAGTGATGCTTTCTCTCCAGAAACACCAGCCTCTGTGGCTTAGACTGTCTGAATTTATTAGTCACATTTTTGTTATTTTATTATTTATTATTTATTGACCAGGTGGAAGCAGTGAGTGTTTGTTTAAAATCTGTTAAGAAAATTATTCCTAATGTTCTAGAGGTAATTTCCAGCTCTGATTATATCTTTCCTAGTGAGGTTAAAAGAGACTCTTTTTCTAGCATCCATTGTGAATACTTCATTTTTTTTTTTTGTCTTGGGAAATAAGGATCAGCATTTATTTGATTCAACAACCAGCTTCCTGCTTCCCAAGGAAGAGATAGTGGCTTTTTTGCTTGCAAACATCCCTCCTGTGGAGTCTTTGTTGGGGAGTTAGGGGAAAGCTAGCAGTTCCTAGTGAAATAGCTGTGTAGCAGGATGAGGAGGGATTATTGAAGCATTACTAGGAAATTCATGGCTGTGTGGAAGACCTTATGTACTCCACAGACGAGCTGACCTAAATTCTGCAGCCAGGCCTTACTGGTTTCTGTGCTGATGTGATGTGGCAGGCTGGATAACCTGCAGCAGATCTGAGGATTAAAAAAAAAATGCAGAGGGAGTACAGAGGAGGATTTGTGTTTGAGTGGGAACACAGACAGGCAGGTCTTTAAAAGTGTACTGAATCTGTCTTAATTTTTTTTTGTTGTTTTCTAACCCACACTATTCTTAGTATTGAGTAATTTCCATGTAGCCAGGATGGGTCTGTATTACAAGGATACTCATTAGGAAAAGTGGAGATGTTGTTTACTCTTGGATGGGGAATATGTGGATGGTTTTGCTCATAAGAAGCTTGGACTTCTGAGATAGGTTTTAGCAAAGAAATTGTGCTAAGTATCTTACCAGTAGTGAAACAGTTAACACAACTGACACTTGAACTCTTCAGGAAAATAGGATTAGTATCCCCTTGACATAAATGGAATGGCTTATGCTTGAGTTTCTAGGTGATGTTTGTTTCCAAGATTATACATTACACAAAACATGACACAAAAATCCAAATAGAAAACAAATTCCTGATCTATCACAGTCAAGTTGGTCAGTCTGACCTGCGTGCAGTGTTTTCATGCTGTTACTTCTTGTAGTAGTGTTGTGACTTTGCAGTTCAGTTTCTGCTGGCACAGTTGTGGTGTGAGGGCAGTTACTGCTTCCTGCCTTTTTCTGTACACATAAGCTAGACTGATGCAATGCTCTCCTTTGCTTTCACCCTTCGTGCTTGCACACTTTTGTTACCTGGTCTCACTGCTTCCTTCTCAGGTTCCTCTACTGGTATGAGAGGATTTTTTTTGCTAGTACTGCTTATACCATGTCCTGTGAAAGGAACAGTTTATGCAGGCAGAAAAATTTTGCAATCACTAGAAGGGCTTTTGTGGTAAATTTTTTGCTGGCATAGTTGGGAAGCAAAAAAAAAAAAAAGTATTGGCTGATGCAGTTCAATGAACAAAATGTTAAAGTGTGGCTAGGGGTTTTGCTGTGCAAGTGTGCTGGTCTGGTTACTGTGATGGAGTGTGTGTGTATGTATTTATAAAACATTTCTGTCTGGAAACCTCTTTTTTGTGGCAGCATAAGCTTTAAGTCTTGATTTGTTTTAGAGGAATTTCTGCAACTGCAGCATCCTGAAGTGCCAGGGGAAATAGTGATATTCTGAAACATTGCTGGCTTATTTTAGATCACATTTCACTTGATGTGCTTTTGAGTTGTTTTAAGAACAACTTGTCTGTATGAGCTATTTGTTTACTATATGCACGTAATAAGCAGCAGTGCTGACCTTTGACTGGAAACCAGAATGACTGCTGGTCCTGCTGCCCCGCTGGCAGGAGCAGGTATGGTGAGGTGGTTGGAGAGCAAGGGCTGTTTCCCTTGTGTGTGTTTCAATATCAGAAGCAGTAATTAGAAGCTTATTAACTGACAGATAAATTAAATAGATTGAAATTCCCTCCAAAATGATAAACTGTTTTTTGCTTGCATTTGTGTTATTGCCAAGGCTACCTCAAGGCAGAAGCAATGTTTTCCTTAGTGCAGATATAGATGTCATTTTGAGTAATTCTTTGCAATAAAAAGAACTTCTGTGTATCTTGCTCCAATGTTACAATTTTCATGTTGGTTTATCTTTTCTTTCTTCCTGTCCTTCCAGCAGAATTTTCAATGCTATTGTTAGAGACAGAAACTGGAAAATAGCTGCAAAACAGCCCCACTTTGGTGTTTTTTTCACTGTTTTTGTCTCCTATTTCTTTGCCTAGACAGGAGACTTGTCCATTACTGATAGCAGAAGCCAGTCCTCGCAGCGACGGGTCAGTGAGCTGAGCTGCTTCCAGCTTGTCTTTCTGGAGCCTGAACCCAGCCTGGCTGCTGGCAGTGGCACTGACACAGCACAGGGGAGGAAGGGGATGGCCCTGGCAGGGCTTGTCACCAGCTTGCTATAGTAGAGAAAAATCTGAGCAGGGTCAAAATGCAGCACTGCTCTCTTTCAACCTTCCCTGGAGTAATGGCTTGTTGCATGGTTTTGTGTTCACAGACATGTTTTGTACTGGATGCATATCAAATTCAGTGGGCTGCAGTATTTTTAGCTGTCTATGTGTTTTGACATATTATGATGTTGTTTCGAAATACTTACCTGCTTTCAGTTCTCGACTGGAATCTCAGGAGGTGCCTTTTGGATAGATGGGAAGTGATTCTCAATATATTGCTCCCTCAGGCTTCATCTGTTATCTTTGGTAGGTGATGCTGTTTTGAAGAAGGCAGCACCGTCGCAGTTCTTGTTCTCTCGGAGGCTGGGTGAACACTGGAGCACTGAATCGGTGTAGCGAGGTGCAGCATCAAAGAGTAAGGTCTGCCTGTCCTTGTCCATACCCAGTTTGCTTTCAGGAGAGACAAAACCCTTCCAGCAGTGGAGAAACCACAGGAGAGATTGGACTGGGGAAAAGTTGACCTTTTGAACACTAGGTTATCCTTGTCTGGATGGGCACAACATGACTCGTAGTGCTGTATTTGCACATGATGGTAAAAAGGAGATACTGTAAGATGTTGGTGACATTACTGCCTTGCACCTCATATAGTAAAGATTGGGGAAGAGAGAGAGATTTGCGAGGGAAAAAATGAACAAACAGCTCTTTGTTGCTCAATTATTTTAGTGCTTCTGTGGTTTAGCTGTTATATTGTGTTACTCTGTCCACAGTTTTTTATGGACCTCTTTTAGAAAAATTTTAAATTTACATAATTCGTTTCTCTAGTTCTGTTTATTATTTAAAGTGCTAGAATATGCTTGCAATTATAGCATTCCACTTCCTTTGGTGATTGGATATATAAAATCTGGTCTTCGTTGCTGAGCAATGAGCTCCCAAACTTTCTGCTTAACTGACTGCATTTCATGAAGTAGGTTTTGCCCAGTGTTTTACTGGAAACATGGAAAAGTTTTCTATGCAGAATTAGAATTGTTTTGATCAATAAACCATCAGTCTGTTTTCCATTCCATTAACTCTTACATTCTGCAGGAGCTGGGCAAAAAAAGTGATTTTTTTTTTTTTTTTCTGCTCATAAGTTGGATCTACTACTTTTTGAGGTAAGATATTTTTCCAGGCAGACTGCAAACAATTTTCATGGGCAGTTCAAGTCATTATTTAAGGAACAAAATGATTGTTAACATTACTGGTATTTGAAACATTGGGGGAAAAGATTGTTGCTTGTACCAGAGCTGCACTCTGGTGTCCAGCTGTCCAGTTTGCAGCTGGATCTGGCAGTCCCTCATGCTTTGCCATTTTGGCAGGTTGGTGTGTTTTGGTGACTTGCTGCCTCCCTGACAGCAGGGTGAGATGCTGGTAGTGCTGCTGAAGGCTGGGAGCAGCGTACATTCCTGTGCCGTGGGTGAGGTTGGAAGGACTGGAAATAGGGATGCTGCCTGGGTTTTTCTTTAGATGCAAGAAGCAGTGAGCTGTGATAGAACCAGACAACCACCTCTCAAGTCACCACCTTTTGGCTGATGACTGATGGCTGGTTTTTCCTCAGTCTCTGTGGTCTCTAGTCCTTGGGCAATCACTGATTAGTGGTAACTTGCAGTCAAGTTCACAGCAATACCACTTTTTCCT